AAGACTGAAGTAGAGATGAAAGCTGGCATTTTTGGCGCTATTAACCAAATAGCTTACCAGCCTCTATTTTCATAAATCTTGCTCTCTAGCTTTCCACCTTGACAGAGAGAGATGAGATTAAATAGATATGGAACTGGTCTGAGCCCCCTTTGAAGAAAATTCCAGTTGCCTTGAGCACTCCACTCTTGGGGCGTACAGAGACAGTTGGTTTCTCCAAAAGTGCCTGTTCTTCACAGAGGAATGAGTGCTAGTTCATGTGGACTGACCAGATTCTCAGGGAAGTTCTCAAGCCACAGGCTAAAAGTGAAACACCCCTCACCCATTTGAAAGCAGGTAAAATGTCAGCATGAAGACCACTTTTTTTAGCAGGATTAATGAATTGGGTTGATTCAATAGTAAATCAGGCCTCAATATCATTTGTACATAATAACTGATTCAGAATCTCATATAAAGCATGCTAATATATAACATTTCATAATTTTGATCATAACAAATTAAGAGACAAAAATCAACATTACCAAAATTTCACAGAATTACAACAGAATCAAGCAGAACACTGTAAGACACCATAATGAAAAGTACTTTACCTCTATGGTCAGTTTACTAGTTTGAAGTCTCTGATCAGCCAAATGTAGCTGAGTTGTTAGTTTTTCATTGGTTTCTTTAAATCCCTTCACAGAAGACACTGCTGTCTTTTTTTCATTCTGTAAAACAGCTATCTGCTGCTGCAATGACTTAATTCTTTCCTGCAGTAGAGTAACAGAGCAGCCCGGTTTCTGGACAATGATATTCCTCTTTTTTGTTCTGTTCACTAAACATAAAATGGCATGTTACTACACTGGCAGATCATCACAATAAGATGATTTCTAATTTTTCTTTGGCCCTTCAAAAGACTGTTCTAGCCTCTAAAATATTTCTCAGTACACAAACTGGTAAATTAATTCCGTTAATGTTGTTCTTTTTCTGAAGTGCCAACACTGCAAACTCAATGAGGACTTGGAAGTTAAATGTGGCTCAAGTTTCTGATTGCTATTACTGAAAATAAAGGCTTCAGTGTCTTGTTAACAGATTTTTTTAAGGTCTAAGCCAAAATACAGTTAATTTTGCTTCATTGGCTGTGTTGGCTACAAGGGGCAAACAAGAACAAAAGGTAGTGAAAAGCCTTGTTAGTCAGTAGATGCAATAGGTGGGACTTAGTAAAAATAGAGTTTATTTTAACTGTGCGAAAGATGCTGTTTGACAGTCACTTTTTACACAACAATTTCACTTTAAAATAATGAGCTAAATCTTTGAAAATGTACTCATGCTAATTTAAACAAGCAAATCCTGCAACAGCATGTAAGTGGGTTTGTATAATAGAAAAGGTTT